TAAAAAAATATCAAAATCAACAGAGGTAAATAATAAGAGACAAAACAACAAATTTACTACAAAAAGTGTTCAAAATGACCACCATTGTTTAATACACATCTGTGTGCTCTCATGGTCAAATTTTTTTGAATATTTTTCAAAACGGTCGGAGTAATTTTATCACACGCCTCCCTAATTTTAAGTTTTAAATCATTTACATCACGGGGCGTCGTCTTATAAACATTATCATTAATAATTCCCCATATGGAAAAATCCATAGGGGTTAGGTCTGGAGACCTGGCCGGCCAATTTATGGGTCCATTATTACCAATCCAACAATTTGGTTTAAACGTACTTAAAAATTCTGTAACACGCCTATCTCGATGTGCTGGTGCACCATCCTGTTGGAAGTATTTAAAATTGTTTAAGACAATTAGGGGAAGGTCATCCAAGAGGTCCCGTAGGGTATTTCTTAGCATATCCAAATACCTTTCCCCTGTTAAATGCTCCTCAAAAAAGATAGGCCCCACTACACTAGAATCCAATACTCCGAGCCAAACATTTATACCGAACCTCTCCTGAAATGCAGTTTCTCGGTGCAAATGTTCATTTTCTTGGGTCCAGCGATAGTGGAAGTTTCAATTAAACCATCCGTAATTACAGAATCTGCTTTCGTCGCTCCACAGAATATTTTTTAGAATGGTTGCATCTTGTCGCTTTTTTCTTAATAACCACCGACAAAAAATGTTTATTATAATCCACTGGCCACAAATGTTGTACTTTCCTGTAGCGATAAGGTCTGTACTTGTGTCTTTTTAAAATTTTTCTTGCCGACATTTTTTTGACACCTGTTTCTTTTTCGATTTCCCTAAGAGAAACCTCATTTTGATTCACATTTTTAAAATGCACGTAGCCTTAAATAAATTCCACAACGTAAATTTTAAAATTAATTTTATTTATAAAATATTACCCAAGACATTAGTTTCCTCTTTACCTCCTTCTTCTGTTACAGTTGGATTCCTTTTTTTTGGCTTTTCAAACATTCCAAGTTCGCGCAAATTTTTTTTCCAAGCGTGCAAATATTTTTGTGTCAGGTACCTATTTTTCGGGATACAAGTTAGCGTATGTTTCAGCAGCATTTTTTGCATTTCGAAATGCTCTTGCATAAACAAAAAGCATATCGACTTTTTCTTCATTAGTGTACTTCATTTTGATGCACCTTATAAGGAAATTTTGAGCACCTTAATTGACATTATCAACTTGACAAGCATAAACGTCATTTGGACCTGGACAATTGGATTGTTTCTTTTCATGGCAACTTGATAGTTAATGTAAATATTAATAATAAAAAGTTTATTTTTGGCTAAAGTACCATGTATGATACATGGTTAAAATCTTTGATATTTTTTCAATTATTTCATGCAAAAATGCAATATGGCCGCCATAGGAAAAACAAAAGATAGTGGCCATATCTCAGAATCTAGTAGGCGTAAAAATACACAAAATGGGACAAAACGTATGTAATTGTATATGTTTTCATTTAAACCTTTCAGTTTTTCAAAATTCCTATAAATAAAAAAATTATAGCGATAATAAGTTTTAACCAATTTTCAGTTTTTTTCAAATATTTTGAGAACCGCTGATTTTGTGTGCAATCTTCAGATGCCATAATAAAAGGCATGTAATTACGCAACTTTTGAACCCTTAATGCCCTATTCCATCTATAACCGTTTCCGAGATAGCAATGCTATCCCATCACATTTTGGACACCCTGTATATATATATAAAAACAACGTAAACACTAATGAACATGGAAAATATCCATTTTTCTTAAATTTAATGTTAAGCTTTCTTTATAAAGGATTTATGCAGAATTTGTGATACATTTGGCCTTAATATATTTTGAGAATAATTAATAAAGATCGAACTAAAATATGAAAATTTAAATTGTTTTCTTTGATATTATAACTTTAGAAATTTATAAACGGTTTAGCCAGTTTAAAATCCCAGTCCTTGATATGTCAAGGACTGGGATTTTAATATGTTAAAACCTACAAAAATGCCTCTTTGTCCGCTTAATAATAAATTTTACCGAATGCAGGTAAGCTGCAAACTGCGCTTAAAATTTCTACATCTGCAGTAAAAGAATAAAAAAATATGCAAGCCACCATTTATTATAAAAATGTAAACTAAACTAATGTAACTTTTTGAGAAAAATGGTGAATGCGCCGGGATTACGACTGTTCAGATTCCAGGGTATCCTAGCAAAAATAGATAATATCTAATACAGTTTTGCCACTCCCACCTTTAAAACGTATCGTACGTATCGTACATGTTTGTATAAAGCCTAAATTATAGATTGCCTTCCTTCCTTCCTCCCGTGGTCGTGCCCGTGCGTTTTGTGCGTCTTGTAAAAAGTCAATTTATATATTCTTTTAAAGATTTGTCATACAAATGTGGGTGGCTTTGAATTTGTTCTATGAACAAGGGGTAGTTAAATTCTGTAAGAAAAAGTATTAGCGTTGAGTAAAGAATCCATGATATTAGTTAAAACTAAATTAATAACATATAAATAGCAGCTAGCTGTTCGAATGCTATATTAACCACTTGTAAATACAATTTAAGTATATTTTCCTGCCATTTTCAATATACAGTGTGTCGCACTTAAGATGAAGACACCCCCATATTTTCGCTATTTGAAGGAATAAAGGTTTGAATTTTTTCACATTTATACATGTTGATGGGTCACATTTTTTAAGCTACTCAACTGAAATCTGAACTTTAAACTTGGCCTACTACAAATTCACAAACAGGGCCAGTTCTCGATATTTTGCTTCGCGTTAGAGATATCGAAAAAAGTTATTGGAAAAAGTTGTTCAGAATATTATTCTAACCCCATATACCAATTTTTATAACAAAATTCGCATTTTTAATTTTTTTTTATTTTGGTCCACACAAAATTATTACAAGTTCATTTTTTAGTTTGATAATAAGGGAGCCATGGAAAGTAATAATTTGATACTAACTAGTGTTTATGACCGTTAAATAAATAATTAAAACAATTTTTGGAAATTACAAATCAATTATAATTTATTAAATTAAGGAAATGGTATAAAACAATAATAAAACTAATAAAAATAAATAAATTTGAAATGCGAATTTTGCTATGAAAATCGGTATACGAGGTTAGAATAATATTCTGAACAACTTTTTCTAATAATTTTTTTCGATATTTCTAACTGGCCCCGTTTGTGAATTCGTAGTAGGCCAAGTTTAAAGTTCAGATTTCAGTTGAGTACCTTAAAAAATGTGACCCACCAACAAGTATGAATGTGAAAAAATTCAAATCTCTATTCCTTGAAATAGCGAAAATATGGGGGTGTCTTCATCTTAAATGCGACACACTGTATATATCCTATTTAGAGACACAAATTATTTAATAAACTGAACACCTATCGTAAATAATACTAAACAATCATGTATTTTAAATATTTTGTGCCTACGCGCTGTAACCTTACAGCGCATGTCCATAACAAGCACTGTGATTGGTCATGTCAAAAACCTTTACGGTAAAAGATAAAACTTAAAATTTTCTACGGGAGGAAGGAATGCCGTCCTTACGGTACGGGAATCTATAAATGGCACTATGATTTTCGTATTGTTCATTTTCTACGGGAAAAAGGAAGGAAGGCAATCCATAATTCAGGCTTCACTCTTAGGGCCGTATGCAGAAACGTTGATTTATTTATATCAACTGATTTAGCATATCAGTGGATATAGGTTTTTGCACGACATGGCGACGCAGTATTTTTATTTAAAAACTGTTGTTTTATAAAATAAATTAGGTAATTATCTTTCAAAGTTTATAAACTTTGAAAGATAGTAAACCATAACTTATATTAGCGAAACTATTTTCTATTGTTAAAAGCAAATGTCACAAATTTCAAATAAATCTTCATGAAATTTTAATTGTTTTATGTCTAATTTAAAATGTCAATGTATAATCGACTTTTTTAGGGAAAATATATATATAAATAATTTCGCTAATATAAGTTCTAAAATGTAAAATGTAAATCGATTGATATAATTCATATTAGTCGTTAACGACTGATGGGTAAAAATAGACAGTATTTTTGTTTGTAAATATATATGACCCCTAAAATTGAATTGAAAATATTTATTGAATAATTTTTTTAAATTTAAAAACATAGGTACATACCTTCTATAAATGTTTACATTTAAATAATACTTATATAATTAAAAAATAATACTATTTAATAAATAATAAGGAATATAAAATAAAACCAAAATTTTATTTAAAAAATATTTGTCTTATTTTTTAAATACTTTTGAAGAATTTTAAATTTTAGACCATGTTCAACTCATTTTCTGCTTTTAAGTTTTTCAATTATGTGCTTGCTCTTCAAATAGAAACAGTAGGTTTTAAGTAAAGGGCTTAATAAGATGGAGGGGACTTTTTTCTGAAGAAATTTACACTATATGTATTATTGGGCCCAGAAATATACTATTAAAGATAAAAGAAAATTAAATTAAGGAGCAACATGGGTATTTCAAATTGAATATACATATTATAATATTATTAACAGTTTTTGCCAATAATACAAGTTTAAAAGGCATTTTATAAGAAAATAAAAAATACACACTGTAGGTAAAAACAATTGTTTTTGCTTGAAAGAAAAAACAGGTAAATGAAACTATTTTTTTATTTTTTTATCATTTGAATGAATTGCATTGCAGATTACTTAAATGACACAATGCGTTATGAAGAGTTTGCTACTTCTTTATTTAAATTACACAAGAATATAATAAAACCTATACAATACAAATTGTGTTTTATCAAACGATGCAAAGATTATTATGTGTTTAAAACACCCTGTATAAAGAAACGAGTTTATAGATTTTTAAAAATATATATTTTTGCTTATACGTCAAAATTTTACCAAACTCTTTAAACAAACACTTCAAAATACAAAAACCTTTTATTCAAACAAAATATATTTCGGTTTAAAAGTATGAAACTGCAATATGTACTGCTAACAGAGTGGCAATAATTTTCCTTTATAAAGCTGAAACTGAATGGAGGATGATGTTGTAAGCAATTTATCTGTGCATAAAGTGTCCTACTTCTTACATTAAGTCTACGTATAAGTTTTACTTCTGCATTGTTGTCCCTGTTTTAATGAAATTCTAACACAACCACAGCGTATTAAACTTAATAAAACGTCACGTAAGTAATACTTTTTTATGTGGTAACGTACATTCAGAAAATAGTTATTTATGCCATTATGTTCAAAAGTGCTGAGCCCAAACGGCCTTTTAGCAAATTTAATGTCTAAATTTATATAAACCTATTAAATAACATGACAATTACATTAAAGTCAAGTTTACGGTATTTTTTCTGCTCTTAATAACAATTTCTCCTGGCTCCTTAATAAATTCACATCACCAACCATCGATAAGGGTAATTCTGCATTTGGGCTTATTGAGAATTTATAATTGGTCAACATTTTTATAAGTCCAATTTTTGATTGCATAACGCCAAACCTTAAACCTAAAAAAACATAATCGATTAGAACCAAGTTTTGGATTACTATAAATATGTTTGTTTGAAATGTATTTGATAAAAAAGTATACATGAAGACTAAGAATAAATTTTTGAATCATTTGTTTATTTTCCATTTTTTATAAAAAAAAGCAGTTGACTGTCAAAAATTAACAAATCATTTATCTTCTTACCTATACAATTTCTGGGCCCATCTCCAAAAGGCAAATAAACAAACTGATGTCTGCTACCTTGGTTTTCTGGACTAAATCTATCAGGATCATACTTTTCAGGATCCAGGTAGTATTCAGGATCTCTATGAAGACCGTACAGTGAAATATATACTATAGTTCCTTTGTCTATAATGACATCAGTATCTCTTAGTTGGTAGTCCTTAGTGCACTTCCTTGTAAGAGTAACTACTGAAGGGTACAGTCGTAGAGTTTCTAAATTTGAAAAATAAATATTTAGTCCGAAAACTAAACCGATAAATATACAGCAAATTATAAATATAATTTTGGATCAATTTGACCCAACCAATTTTGTATTAACTTTATAAAGATGGCCTTTTAATATAATTTAAATAATAATATAAATTAAAAAAGTTTAAAGGCTCTAACGTGAGGGGAAATTTTAAATAAGATGAATTTGGTTATCAGATATGTTTTTTAAAAGAGCTTTACCATTCTTAAAAATTATATTTTTATAAAATGATGCAAGTCAAATTCAAAAATTATCCCGGTATTAAAAATAGGTTATCTGATTTACCTTCTAAAACTTGTCCTAAATATTTCAATTCATGCAGAGATTCATAAGTGATGTTATTGTTATGCTTTTTCAATACTGCTTTAATCTCTTCCCGTACTTTATTTTGTATCTCGGGATTTCTGGATAGTTCATATAATGTGAAATTCATTGCAGCTGACGACGTATCGAAACCGGCTAGGAAAAATACGAACACTTGCGCAACTAAATCCTCCAGGGTAAACGTGGGATCTTCTTTGTGTATATTGATAACTAATTGTAGAAAATCGGGCCTGGAAATGTTATTTTCCTTTCTGTACTTTAATGTATTTTTCACCACGTCGAAGAAAAAGTTGCTTATTTTCGGTACTGTGGGTTTAATTTTAAGTGCTTTTGACATATCAGGTACGGCTGCAACTAAAAAGCGTTTTATGGCGTGTATTATACCGTGGTCCTTAAAAAGCGATTGACCAACAGTACGAAATTCAGCATCCTTATCCTTGAAACTGTTGCAATTCAAACCAAAGGCGCATGCTCCTATTACATCTACAGTAAAAGAAGCCAGAACCTAAAATATATTATAATATTAATTTTATAAAAGGACGCTAGTAACATGTGGGTTAAGCAAACGCTTAATTGGAATTAGGCTTTGGACGGAATATTAAAATTGTATGCTCAAAGTTAGTAGGGTAAAGGCACCAGTAATTGCCACTGTATCAGTAGTTGCCATTTATTATTTAGAAATTCAATAACAAAACCATATGCAATATCTGTGCTTATGGCGCACTCCCTATGTGTAAGGAAGTGTATCTAGTGTATTATGTATTTAGAAAAACTGTCACCAGGTGGCGCATTTTTTGACAGAAAAAAATATTTAGGCAACTTGTTGAATCAGTTGTTTATAAAAGATTTCTTGTGACTTTGGTTAATAAAGTGTAAGATTAGTTTCGTGATATTGGGCAATAGGCATATACCTATGCTAAGTAGTTTAAATGAAACGCCTATAAATTGTTCGTTAAATTAAAAGAGTATTTTGATTTACAGTAGTGGCAATTAGTGGCGCATTTTTTTTCTTTTAACCCAATATTTGCCATTTGTGGTAATTACCTACTGAAGAATTTTGGATTATCGTATTATGACCTTTATTAAAACTCTAAAGTTTAGAGTTTAGAGTCTAAACTAACATAACATTATCCTTGACATTAATAAAAACATTATATTTAAAGAGAATCCAGTAATTTATAACTCTTTTTGAATGTGTCATTTATTGATCCAGGTATAAAATCCAAATTGATCAACATGGAATCAAAAACCAAGCCCTTCTTTCGCTATTCCCAAGAAAGCAAATAATCTGCTTTGGCTGCTTGCCAAGGTGGTATGCCATTTTCCATTTTTCTTGTTTTATTTAATAAAATAAATTAGTGGCAATTACTGGCCAGGTACACTGGCAACTACTAGTTTTTTAAAAAATGGTCATGGCAATTACTAGTCCCCTGTACCTCAATAAAAAATATATACACACATGTATATTGTACTTAGTGAAGTCTTTAATTTTTAATGTTTGGTAGTGAGCTTGTATAAGTATCTATTAACCACATGGTTTTTTATGAAGACGAAATCTAAATTTCTTCTGGTACTTTTTTAGCTATTTTGTGTAAACACTAGCTTATAATGGCAATTACTGGTGTGACAGTGGTGTCATTAAAACTTGTGACCAGTGGTGTCATTAAAACTTTTAGGTAACTAAAAAATGCATCTATTTTAAAAATTAGTTTAGGCTAAATAAATTATCTATATAAAACTATTACATTATATAATAAATAAGGTTTGGGTTTATTTAACACTGTGGCGACCACTAGCGCAACCTTTTATGGAACAAACCTCGAACGACAAAGACATTAAATGTCTTTTCAAATTTTGAGAATACTAGAAAAGTTATGTTCAAGCCAAAAAAATGTTGGCCGCGTTTTTAGCAGGGCATTTAAATTTATTAAAATAATAATATGATCAAATTTCTTGATATTATTTACATCTACATCATTAAAATACAAATTATCTAAATAGTTTATATCATAAGAATTTTTTCAGCCGCGGCTTACCGAGAGTTGCTATTTATATTTCAATAATGGGCAAAACAATTGTTGCTACGAAAAATATAACATCTGCATCTTAAAGTTTTACATTTTTTAGCATAAAAGTACAAGCATAATAAGGCAACCGTTAAAAAAGGCTTGTGTCGATTGGAGCAAGGAATGCTAAAAAAAATGCTTAACTTTAAAATCCAAACATGCAAATCAAACATGTTTAATTCATCAGTGGGTGTAACTTTATAATCATATTCATGTCACATTAAAGCAAATCCGTGTATTACCTCGAGAATATCAATATCCTGCTGGCTCCTAGCCTTCTCATTCATAAAATCAACCATATAATTACTGCACTCCAACACAGTATTAAACATCATCTTCATTTTGCCAGATGTAAACGTCGGCGAAAGCTTAGATCTTAGACCTTTCCATTTATCGTCGCCAATACTAAATAGGTTGTTAGTTAAGGCGTCCTCATCTACATGATATGCTCCCCTGTCTACAAAGTGCTGAAAATCCTTTGACAAAATGTCCTTGATGTAATCAGGATCGGTTAAAACTAACACTGGTCGAAATAACGTGAAAATTCCGCCGAATTTATGACCCCTACTCTTTAGCTCGTTGTAGTATTCGGCTGAATCTGGACCCGGAACGTACGATCTTAACACATACGACTTAAGGTTTCCCAAGGGAAACTTTGGTTCGATATATGGGACGTTCTTTCTCTTCCAGTAAGTAAAAGCGTATTTGAAATATAGGATAATTAGAAATCCCACAGTAATCAAAAGTGCTGCTATGTCTCCCCATATTGTTGAAGTTATTAAAGCCATTTTTTCTAAAAAAAAAAAATAATATACATTTATAAGCGATTATTGACGAGCTTAATAAATATGTTAGGTGACATTGCCATGCTAAGCACAAAGGTGGTAACTACTATTTCTTAATATTGTAGTTACAACAGTTTTGCTTAACACGGCAGTGTTACTCTTGAACGAAAAGTTTGTAGCTTTTTAAGGTTTATTACATCGAGATATTATAAAAAAGCTACAAAATTAAATAAATAAAGGATTTTGTAATAACAATGTAGGTAAATTTTCATGATTTTTTTTATTTTAATTCTTCTTTAAAATTTAAAATTCCAAATCCATTTAAGCACCTCAAATAAATACTTGGTAGGCTTTACTTTTTTCTTTATGCTTTATTAATTGTAATTATTTTAATTACTATCAACCTTGACAACTTTTTGCAATAATATTTATTATTATTAAAAGTGTTAAAATACGCAATAAAAGTTTTGCAGTAGGCCAATAAAAAATTGTTAATTTTTATGCAAATTTTTTTTTAACTAACAAAAATTATAAATTAAACAAATTAAATTTAAAACATTTTTGTGCAAAATAAGGTAAATTTAAAATTTTTACAATAAATATATTTAAACGAATACAATAAATTTTTAAAACCCAAAAAAATAATAATGTTACCTACATACAGTATTTTTGTCTGACTAGCTGTAACTTTATTGTGTTTTAGTCACAGGCTGAAGTTAGCAATAGTGGCTTTTGGGTATTTTAGTCAGAAGTTAGCTTGATTAAAGTTAACTTTATTATAAATTACGCAAAAGTATGTTAAATTCGTTTAAAGACATATTTAACAAATAAAATTAACACAAGGAAGAATTTCAAGCCAATGCTCACTTCAGCCTATGACTAAAACGCCATTAAGTCACATCTTATCAATGGATTGGATAAAGTACCTAAAGTATGCAACTCGTTATATAAACTTCTCTACATTCGTTTTCATTAATCACACGCACGCAAGCTTTGTTCGTGCTTATAAAACTCGTAACTAAAACGGCGTTTATAAAACTTGATAGATAATACGCTAAAGAAGCATAGCTAGTAGCGCCACCACGTGGCCGTTATCATCGTCACCATAATTCAGCTTTTAATAAGCAGCTGTCAAACGCGTATGTTACAAACGAGTGCTTTTGAGAATAAAGCCGGAAAATATTAAACATTATGTTTGGACAATAACTATTTGGTGTTTAATTTCTTGAAAATGTCCAATCTTAGGTACTGTTATCATTACTTTATTCTGCACCAACAAATATACATACTGTATAATACCAAAACATGAAAATGCAACGATTTAGTTCTTGAACTTTATTTACAATTAAAAACACAATAATTCACGATGATCACTTAGATAAAATGCACACACTAACGTAACTATATAAGCATATAAGCGTTGAGTTTCTTAATTAATTTCTAAACCAAAGTTTTTTAGTTTTTATTTGCAGCATGAAACACAAATAACGTACGCGATTCAGCTTTGCAGTTAAAAAAAATTTGTCGAGTAAGACTTCTGTCTTCCTCTCTTTTGTGAAAAAAACACTTATTTATTTAAAAATGATGTGCACTTCGTATGCTTTAAATGTATTGTTGACAATTGAATTGAATTCAAACAATGTTATCCAACCCCACCAGATGGCGCGCGCGTTGCGAAAACCCGATGCTTCTTTAGCGTACATACTATTATTTGTAAACATGTTTTATTTCTTCCAGCAATCTTATAGCAATTTAAAATCTTTATTCTTTAGCATTTTTAAATTTTAAATTACAAATTACACACATCGACAACATTAGGTTTTTGAGAAACTTAAAAGTGAAAATCGTTGCTTTTAATATTTGAGGTTTCCTTTATTAAAAAACTTCTTGTAGAATTACTGTCTACTCTTAAGTTATCATTAGTTGAACTTGTTTAAATAAAAATTATATTCAATCACTATTCAGAACTTTATCAATAAGCTAAAAGGATGTAAAAAAAATTTAAAAACTGATTTTAAAGAGGAAGAGACGTAACAAAGTTTATAGTTAAAAATTATTTTGTGATGTAACAAAACGCGCTTTTTTTAATTTTGGATTGGATTTTTTCAAATACCTGACGTGAAAGAGCAATTCTGAGGTCGGATTTGATTTCAAATATAAAAAATTTACAGAAGGAATAAAAGTGTTTTAATATTAAGATCTTTATTTATTTAAACTAAACAAGTTTAAGTAAAAAAAAATTATTGATTGTTACTATTGTTATAACAGTCGATATGTAAAAAGGTAACCAAAGTGTTAAAACTATTTAAACAATTTAATTAAAAATGGTTCCTACCTGTCAGATGATAATTACTGTATGGTTGAAGATGAAGTATCTTAAACAACATTTAAATAAATACAAACATGACTTCTTAATTGATATCTACAATAACTTTAATGTTTATATAAATATTTATAATCATTCCAGGTCATTAATCTTAAATAGGTTATTCACTATTATAAATAAGCATAATAATTATAATTATAATAATTCTTAACAATCTTAATGAGGTTAACAACAAAAATATTAATAAATTAGTTGCTGTAAATTTTTATTTAAGTGATATACTTATTAGTTTACTAATTTAATTAAAAACACAAAACCTAAATCCATAAATCTATTTATTTGATAACTTAAAAATTTGTTAAACACCGCCCAAATTAGTATATTTTATATAAGTGAAACCTTAAAGGTTGTTATTCCAGTAATTATATTATATAGATTATATATAATATATTTTAATAAATAGGAAACATAATCTTTAGAACTTTAGTTCTTGTTTAAAGTTTTTTACGGATAGGTATTTTACTTGGTAAGTACCATTAAAATTTATTAATTTTTAACCTGTACTTTCTGCAAAAAATTATAAATTGTAGGTACGCGTATAAAGTTTTTCATTTGAATGTTTAACGCCGCCTTACTCGAAAGTTACACTTTGCTGATCCAAAATATATGACCCAGTTACCATCTAGAGAATAAACCTAGAACGATATCCTTCCGGTTTCCGGCAATTGACTCGAACATTTTTCAAGGCGCAGGATTACGAAAATCCGTAGAACAAGTAATTTCGAATTTACATTTTTTATGTTTATTCTTAATTCAAATGCATAATTTATGAGAATGTCATGATATATTTTTAAAGCATAAAATATAATTCATTATAAGTACTCTCTAAAAATGAATTAGTCAAAAATGACTAATTTAATAGTTATTAGTGGCTGCTTTTTCACTTGTACCATGGTTAACCATGGAATAAAAATTCTTATGTAAAATTGTCCCCTGAATCCGAAAATACAGTCAAAAATTATGAAAGTGGAGCAGTTTTTGAGATATAGTCAATTCCATATTAAATGGATAATAAATAAAAAAGAAAATAAAAATGTTCTAAGCCTAAAATATAATTAAGAAAAGCACAAATAGACCTTCTTGGCCAAATGAAATACAACATTTTATCTTGACTTTGGTTCCATAATATTGCATTTAGATTTGGTTATATACAATATTTTAATATTTGGTGTATAAGGCTGACGTATCACAGCAGCATTCGGTTTTGTTATGTATTAACCTTTAAAGATTATTCAGTTACTTAAAATGTTCAAAAGCACTGGGTATCTTTTACAATGAAAATTCGGCATGTGTACAAAATCTTATTAAATTTTGTATCAAATTGAAAATAGCTCTTGCTTCTGACACTATTAAGTGATGAAAAAAATAACATTGTAGCGCATAATAATCCGCTCTATATGCAGTATGTGACGGTAAGGGTTTAGCGAATGCTGCAGAAGGCGTCTTTTTATACGACTATTGCAGGAAAGGCAGGTGTGGCCCTAAATGTTTATTGATAATAGCGACACAATTCTACAGGGCCCCAACTTTTCTTTTGCTTTTTTGAGATTTAAACTTTTAAAATGTTAGACATATCAGACAAGATTTATTTGATATCTTTGTTATAGTCCTAAAAATATAGAGAAAAACTACAAAAACAAATGAACATTTGGTTAAATTTATAAAAAATGGACGAAATAAGGAGTGATTTATACTGAAATACAATACACAGAGTAAGACAATTTACTTTTATTTTTTATTCAGAGGCAGACAAAAAAACTAATACCGCATTATATTGGTCTGGCTTAAAACTAAAATAGACAAATAGCGAGAATGGTGATCATAGAAATTATGGGACTAGACGCTGTCAATTTTTTAGTAAACAAAATTACTTTTATAGGTACTTCACCACAGCAATACTGGGTTATATCGATTTTCTTTAAGAAACAACGTAAACACTAATGAAAAAGGCAAATGTTATTTTTTTTATTTTACTTGCTATAAATTTAGGATTTATTCGTAATCTGTACTATTTTCTAGAATAATTAACAAAGATCGATAACCTAAAATCTGAAAATTTAATTGGTTAACTTTACCCTTTTCAATATTATTTTAATAAATAGTATATTATCCATCAAGTTTTATAAACGGCATTTTAGTTACAAGTTTTATTAGGCACGAGCGAAGATTGCGAGCGAGTAAATAATAAAAACGAGTGTTTAGAGAAGTTTATAAAAAGAGTTGCATACCTTATCTATGGCGAAAACAAAGAATTTAAAGCCAATTTAGCCGGCAGTAAACTAGATTTATATAATTTCGGGTGAAGTGTCCATAAAACATTTTCTTTACTTTCGGTAATACAGATTCCCAAGAATGGTGACTTTTTTGTTTTATAGATATCGGTCTATACAAATATTTAATTTAAATCATTTTTAGATAAAAATAGGAATTTGTCGTAGAAAAAGTATAGTATGCAACTCGTTTATAAACATGTCTAGACACTTATTTAATTAAGCACTTGTTAGTAAGCTCGCTCGTGCCCTATTAAATTCGTGGCTAAAATGGCGTGTATTAAAGTTGATACATAATATACCATTTTAACTTTTAAAGTTTCTAAATTTTGTTGTTAACGTTTGAGCCATTTT